CGCTTGCCCGCCGAAGACGGCAATCTATTCAATGCAAGCACTGAGTTGTTAAGGACCGTAATTCACTGCCAAAATGGGCCGAATTGACTATTTAAACACTCAACTTTCAACGTGACGAACGATTTGTTTCTTTGCTTAGTAGCAATAGAGCTCCTTGTGAAAGTGTTCGTCCAGGGAAGTACAGCCACCTTACCTACTTCTGTCGCCAACCAGTATATAAACGCGGCTAAGTGACAAAATTTTTTTACACACGTTAACTTTTTTTTTACCTGATTTTAAAAGAGAATCTTGTGCTCTGTTTTTTTACTAGTTAGTTAAGGGACGGCAGTAATGTGAGCATTATTATGTTCCGGTTTTGGAGGGTAAGGGTTAGGGATGCATGACTTTTTTGATTTGAATCAATCCAGAGATCGGATCGCAAGCTTTTGAATCGATCTCATAAAAATCATTTCAAAATGAATTTCGATAACAAAAAATTGATAGCCGTTTCGGCTTCAATTGAACCTAGCCAGTGAGAAGACGTTTAGATGGCACAGAAGTAGCGACAATCGCCCAATATTGTAGACTTATAGTAACTTAGATGTTGCCAAATTGTTTATCTTGCAGACCAATAAAAAATAGAGGTTCAGAAAGACACTGTTATGTTTAAATTATGAATACGATCTAGACGATTCGATAAGCTTTCATGTTGAATTTATTTACCTAAAAATCGCATTAAAAATAAATTGATACAAAAAATATCTAGATCGTATACGCTTGAATCGATCTTCTTAAATCCCATCGTAATGTGCATCCCTAGTAAGGGTGCTGATGAAATAAGAAGCACATGGGGCTTGTCAACTTATCAGGGTGACGGGCGCAGTGGCAGTGCCCCTAAGATCTTTGCGATTAAAAACTTTAACTGGCACTGCAACTGCTATGGATAGGCGTGTCGCTAACGCCCTCAATCAAAATAAAATACTTAGAAAAACTATGCAAATAAAAATGTTAACCTATAGCCCGTTTTCTTCACTTAAGACCCATGCCCGTGTACGCCGCAAGCCCTGCATCTTAGGTAACTCGGGCACTATTTAATAATTCAAAAGGAGTTTTAAATAAAACAAAATAATAAAAATTAATAGTAAATTTTATTTAACTTCATTTAGATAACTATATACCGCGACATTGTGCGTTTATTTTACATTTTACAGGAACTTATTCTAACTTTTTTTCTCTTACACTAACGAACAAACATTTAACAACTTGTTTCTTATACAAAAAAATAATTTATTATGAACACAATACTCTAAGGCTTAAAATTGTATCCTTTGATAATATTCTGGTCAAGCAACAATTAGCTGAGATTGTTGACAGAATGGTGTAAATAGTGTTCGTATCAATGAACAAAATAGTTATTATTATTAACCCGAAATCTTTTAAAAGGGCATTTCGAAACTTAAAACAAACAACATACTTATTTATACACAAGTTTTTTCTTCGATGAAAAACGCAGAAACTTTGTCTGGGAAGTAAAAAATATCCGAATTCTAAGGCGCAATTTAGAACGGAAGCGTCAATTAGTGTCTAGTCCATGTTTGACGTTACACTGCGTCTGCCTTCGCGCTACTTCTGCTACTGCTCGCGCATGCTCGAGAATTCCGCGGAAGATGCGCGACGTGATTTTTGGCTCGTATCTAGTTTTTACGTTACACAAATGATCATAAACTTCATTATGCTATATTTCGTTATAAAAATTCGCTTCCATTCCGTTCCGCAGCAATGGAAATTGAGCCTAATATCCATTCCAGCAACGCGACACAAAGTTAGAGCGTTCAGCATTATGTACTTTGGAAGTTCTTGTCACTGATAAAGCCCTCGCAAGATCCACACATATCCATAATGCTGATACTCTGGCGCGACGTCAGGTCGAAAGATTACGTTAGGTTGATATAATTGTTTGAGCTCATAGCTTGTGTTGGTATAGGTCTACTAGAATCTTATTAAATTTAATTTTTAACCAACTTGAAAAAATGGAGGAGACAGCGTCATGACGTCGACGTACAAGAAGGCCCGACCCAAATAAAATGGGAAAAAGCAGGAAGAAGAATTTAGAGATTTGTACAGGAATGTCGGAATACACTGTAATTAATGCATTAATGCCTATGCCTATTTTAGGCAACTGAATAAATAGAATTAAACCTCAAAAATAAAATTAGTGTAGTACGATACTTCCAATACAAACTATAAAACAGTCGTTAATTAATTAAATTTTTATTGAATTGATATTCAATTATTTTTTGTGAAATTACTCCACTAGTTTGTTATAATTATTAATACAAAGATCGAACACTCAGAAAAAATTCCTTCGATCCGGTCGGATTCGAACCGACGTCTTCTTGCATACCGTGCCAGACGCTATACCAACTAAGCCACGGAACGAACCAACGGACCTCACGAATTTTTCTATGTGCTTGTGTCGTGTCTTTGTACTTGGTCTTTCAACGACTTTCAGTCGTTAATTATCAAGTTAATTATCACTTTTCAGTCGTTAATTATTAAGAAGGTTTATTCCAATGAAATCAAGTGTAAATATTGTTCAATTTCCCCACTTGTCATAAGATTCCAGTAGGCCGAAAGTCTCTTTAAATGCAGTATAAAAAAACTTAAGATAAAAATAATATGGCGACTCTTAAATTATAGCAGGAAGGCAAGTACAATACTAATTCTTATTTTAATACTTCATAATTTATAATCAAAATAAGTAAATTTCATATTTTTTGGATAAAAGCAATTAATAATATCCAACAATTCAATCTTTCTTGATGTAATGCAAAAATACTTCTTGTGCGTGTGTGTGTACAAAGGCACTGTAAAAAATGCCATTTTTTACAACTACATATAAATTACTACATAAACAAATTATATCTACAAGAAGGCACTTTACATTTTTTCATTTGCTTACGTACTTTTTTAAATTTAAAATTCGTGTTCTGTTACCATGTTATGCCAATTATTCCACTTTTAAAGTTCATAACGTTATTTTTGAAATTTTTTGAATTTAGAATTTTGACTGTATGTACATTTGCCAATTTCGTTATGGGATCGCGTAAACCGTATTTTCGTAAAAATAACGGTTTTTTTTTTTTTTTACTAAATCTGTTACGCATCGCGTATTTTTGCGAAAATACGGAATTGAATTTCGTTTGAATTCACTATTTACTTCTTTTAAGTGATTACTGCTGCGCTATCTACGACTTCTAAAATGTTGCTTTTGATGGAATATATTATGACGATAAATATGGTCCAAGAGATCCTTTGGCAATTAAAAGAGCGTGTGACCCTCTCCATCTTGTCTATAAACTCTATATTAAACAGTACTAGGTGGGAAGTGATCAGTCCAAAATATATTGGCCAAAATTCCAGCGATCATCAGAGTAAAGTAAAGCACCACCGCCGCCCACCACAGACGCTTCTCCCATTTGCGTTTTTCCAGGTTACGCAGAACCCCGATTCCCACTAGAAGGCCTGTAAAATAAAGAAAATTTAAGTCAATACTTATACTACAACTTAACAGATATCATTGTAATCTAGTGAGACATAGTTGACGGCTTAGAATAATAACGCACAGAAACCTAGTCCGCACACGCTAAGTGAGGCAAATTGAAGCGCGCCAAAAGGGCCTACACGAGCGGGCGGGCCAATGCTCAAGGTCAACTTGCACCGCGAACAGATCAAGAATTTTAGCTAAAAATGACGAAATGTGCGGTAAATGAGTGTAAAAATACGTCAGACAAACATAAAATAGATACTAACATCACATCAACATTCCACAAGGAAGTAACGCGTTTCAACTTGTATTTTTATATAAATATTCACCAAAACCGAAAATTAACCTACTACTAAAACTAGCCTACATGAATTTGATTTTTGCCTCACTTGTGACAGTTCGTTTGATATGAAACTATCATTCTATGCGTTATTATTCTAAGGTTGACGGTATTTATATTTCGAATGTTTTATTTAAAATACACAAATACATTGCCTTTAGACATAGGTCTACGTACAGAATGGAATCTGAGAACGATTAACGACCCTGATCAAAAACACTCCATAAATACCATCAGGGAAGGGTAGTATATGAATTATTTTTAAAAACATGTATTTATCACCTAAAACCGTATTTTGTGTTTAATATTTCAAGTACTTTCGTACCCGGTTAGTGGTGATGTGTTGTATTTTAACTTACGTTGAAATACCGTATTTTATATTTTCGATATAATTAATGAAAGTATTTTGCATTTGAAATATATATAAGAAAATATATTTTAATTAAGATATAGCTCGTATTTTGTTTAGTCTTAGACACCATAGGCAATTAGCCTCAATTTACACTGTCGCGAAATTGAATGTAAGCTAATTTTTGTAGTTGCTGTACGGTAGCTGCGGGAATTACCAAGACTGCGCGAGAATTCTTTCGACCTGTTTTTTAGCTCATATCTAGTTAACATAAAGTCCATTATGCTACGGTTTTTTGTTTTCTAATACCAAGTGACGGGACGAACAAGTGGTAAGCGACACGCTCACAGACAGCACACGCTGAGCTTTAAATCGTAAAATTTTGAAGGGCACCGCCGCGCCGCTGCGCTCGTCACCGTGAGACATTAGTCAACAAGCCGCATGTGCCTGTTGTTTCACCAGTACCCTTACCCTTCAAAACCGTAACATAGTTTTTAATACAGTTGCTCAAAACGGGGTATTTTTCGCACTACAAATCGTGCGGAAAGTTGGATTTCTCGCACTAGTGCTTTTTACTTTTCCAGTTTTTTTTAAATTTACTGTTGTTTTAAGTCTTAAACATAGAACTAAAGAAGTTGTATATTTATTTAATATTTATGTGTTTTGTGACGTACATAAGTCATTCGTCATTAAAACTTATATTTATTTACAAATACTATATAATGAACGTATCGAGTGTAGGTCCACAGTCTCTGCCTATCCCTGAATGGGTGACAGGCGAGATTTTTATGTATATATTTATTTGTTCTATGTATTACAGATAAATTGTATCTCACTACCGTGCACGGGTTCCTAAAGAAGTTTAAACAAAAGTACCAGGACTTCATAATAAGTGGTTACAGACCGATATTACAGTAAATAAACAAAAACAGCACGTTAGAACTAGATTTCCATAGACTTTTAACTAATGGTTGCAGTGGTTGTATTTCATTATTTTAATTTACTAGCAGAAAATGAGTTTTGTTTAAATACTGTTTTATTTTACTTTCAATGTAGTTTTTTCGCAAATGTATTAAAAAACGTCGTTTGATACACGTGCGGATTTGTCATTTTCCCTTGTCTCGCGTCTTGACCCTCGCCTTTGGCTCGGGCCAAGAAGCCTCGGATCTTTTATATAGAGGTAAAAATATAAATTACTAATATTTTTCACAATAATAATAATGCACACACTGAACATAGCCCCGCACTAGGGACCCTGTGTCGCGGGTGCCATGGACACGCACATAAACAACCACAAATTACACCCAAACTCATGAGGTAAATAAATGACGACCATGCAAATATTTCTCCCGGCCCGGGAATCGAACCTGGGACCTCTGCGTGGCAGTAACCGCATAGTAACCGTTCGACCACGGAGGTAGTAATGTTCAGTTCTTACCAGCGACAGCACCCGCCAAATGGGCAACATATCCAACGTTCTGTTGCAGATTTCTAAAGTACCGGTCGTACACAGCAGTGCCGACATCAACTGCCGCCAGGAGCAGGAATACTAACAGCTGGATGATCGCGAACTCCATCTCTTGCCAGTTCTGGAATTATGAGGGTAGAACACTTTTAATTTTGGCTATCCGGCTCGAAGGACCTATTATGGAAAGACTTGTACCGAATTAGTATGGGAGAGTATTTTATTCCCAGAAAAATTTAACCAGCCTCAACTTTTTTGTTAGATGTAAGCTTGAAATTAAGAGCTTAGCAGAACAACAAAAAATAAAATATTGTGACCTCCATTTTTTTGTCATTGATTTAAAACAAAGTTTGGTAGACATGTTTAAATAATTATCAACAATACTGCGACACTCAAATAACTCCAAAAAGTAGCAACACTTCAATGCTAATATATATTTAGGGTCGTATTCCAGAACTTTACTCAATGTTCAAGTCAGGACTTGAGTATGATTTCAAGCACTGGAAATACGATCCTAATGGCAAGGACTTGAGTATGATTTCTAGTGCTTTATTTCTAGAGTTTTGGAATGCGACGCTTAGAATGTAACAATAATGACATTGACATCTGATCTTTTTATATATTTTTTACGGCATTGACCACTAGCCTTTAGCTAAAAAAATACTATTAACAATCCTTAACGATTTTCTGGAAATTGCAGGCAAAAAAAGTTTTTAATTCAGAATTTCTAGATTTTGAGAGCTCTTTCCGAAAAACCAACTAACAGCCTGGTTAAATTTTCCATTTATTTCAGTACCACTAACGGAATACCTCTTATAGACATTGTTTCAGAATATTTTGAGGTTAGTATTATATTATTTAATATAATAAATATTATATAATATTTCACAATAATATACTCGAAATTAGGTAGACAACAATAACTTAAAAATGACCTCTCAACGTGTGTGTTTACTTACTACACTATCATATATATAAACACTATTTTATTTAATCTGTAGTCAGGTGGGGTGAGGGGAAAATACTTTATTTTGAGTCAAAAGTTTTGAGCTAAACTTGGTTTTGTTTATCAGCTTTACATGTTTTAAGCATTATATTACCTACGCTAAATTCAATATATATGATCATCATACGATGTATTTATCTTCCTTTATTTTTTCCATCCTCTAAGTGTATAAACTCGTGTTTCCAAGATTTTACAGCTGTAAATTTTTTTCCGCCTTTCGAATTTAGAGCATCGTAGCGACATCTCTTTAAAATCATGTAAACTTATTAGTTGTCTGTTTTATCGACTGAGAGACTATACTGCCGTCCACTACCTAAAACACGGTTAAGTAAATAGCAAAAAATAGAGAACAAAATTCTCTTTTAAAAATCGTTAAAATTGATTAACCTGTTCGACTTATCGGAACTTACCCCAACGATGCATAGCTGAAATATCATCAAACAATTTCAATATTCTAAAACTGGGTCATGATTTTTTCTGATATCTCAAAACAATTATTTTCTCACTTAGCCGGGTTTTAATTAGCGGCAGTATAGTGCTAAAATCTTTAGATTATGAGCATTGACTTACAATTATACGGACGTCGGATCCGCGCTAAAAAGTGTCCGAACTTACGTTAAAATCGTATGCAGAGCGTCATTCACGCTTTAGTCTTCGGTTGTTCGACTGACAGCGAAGCAAGCAAAATTATACAGTACTGCGATGACATTACAATTTAAATTCAACGTTTTAGCTTTTTCATATTCCTTTACATGTCACTACGTTTAAATAGGTTGACTTGGGACATTTTTTTCGTGGTTTTTGTATTAGACCCGTCGTCCATTTATTTGTAAGTCAATGATTATGAGTTAAAAGTTCCTCTTCCTCCGGTCTTACAGCTTATAAACGATGGTGATAAAGTTCTAAACTACACATTTAATCTAGTAATATTTCATGGGTGACATTAAGGAAATTTACCATAATAATCGTGGCTATATGCGCAGCGATAAGCGCGTAAACACCTCCAGAAGCACCAGCTAGATAAACGCGAGGGTCAGTCAGACTGGTTGCCAGAGACCCAGCTGCAACTCCAGCTAGGTAGACTAGAATGACACGCCACCATCGATGCACCATTTCCAATGGAACACCAAGGAACAGTTGCACCAGGAGGTTCACGAGTAAATGGACGACACTGGAAAGATTCAAGGGAAGCTTTGTGAATTTTTTTACAGAAGTTTTCAGTCTCGGCAATATATTGTCATTTGACACTTAAATAAGTTCATTAAAAATGCATTAATAATCTACTAAATCGACAGTGTTTTTTTTTATTCTGGTTACATGGACATAGCAACAAAACAAAGCGGAGTTTAATATAATCTGTTAGGAGATTGAAGAACGGTAGTAACATAATGAGATTCAGTTTATCTGAAACTGTATTAAACACCCTTTGTTTAACACACTATAAAAATGAAAGAATAACTTTCATAAATAGTTTTTCATTCGAAAATATTCTTTACGCAATATTTTGAATGGCTGGTCAAACCAGGCCCTGTACTCTCGTTCTCTGCCCGATATCCGTATCCGTCTGAAACTTCTTCTTAGGATCGTATTCTAGAACTCTAATCAATGCTCAAGTCAGGATTGCACTGGAAACACAAGCACCAGTGCTTGTGTTTCCAGTCGTAGTTCCAGAACTACGACCCTAATGGCAGGGACTTGAGTATGATTTCGAGTGCTTTAAACCATACTCAAATCCTGACTTGAGCATTAAGTAGAGTTCTAGAATACGAGCCTTAGAGTGCCTCTTCAATGCTGAAGGTTGGCCATCAGCTTCCTGTATTCGTCTCTATCAGCAGCAAACCGAAACAGCTGTTCGACAGAGGCAATGTCGGTCCACTCCGGGATGTTTTGCAGCCATGATTTCTTTCTTCGCCCAGCGCGTTTCTTTCCCTGCACTTTGCCCATAATTATTAGCTGTAGCAGCGTGTATCTATTGTTCTTGATCACGTGACCAAGATACTCTATGTTGCGCCTTTTGATACAGGGCATCATTTTCCGGGACATATGAACACGCTGAAACACGGTTTCGTTAGTGACCCTCTGTGACCAACCAATGCCTGCAGGCGTCTTGTAGTGTCTTCTTTTAAGGTCCAAGTTTCGCAGCCGTACATGACGATAGGCCAGATGTAACATAAAAGTAACCTGAGTAAGCTAAGTTCAGTTTACGACAGGACAGAACTTTCCTCATGTTGTTAAAAGAGGCGTGAGATACATATCCCGGTCTGGATTAAATGATCAGATTCCTATGCTTCATTTACGCAATCTGTCCGAAACAATTACTGTCAAATAAATAATACTCGAGCTAATTAAAAAACACTTGATGCGAATTAAACTTCATATTTGATATTGTGTTTTAATTTGGTAGAGAATCACTTATTTGACAATAGTTCTTTGTCCGGACGGAGAACAAGAGTAGACTTCCAGTAGAAACGCAAGTCGCCTGTGGCGCGAGCTCGCCCGTGCAAGCCGGCGCGGCTTGAATTCACGGGCCTTGGAAACATCATAAGGAATCAATTTAAAAAATCAGTAAAAAAATGAATCACTTACCCAACATGAACAAGCATGTATGTCAAGAACCGCCAGGCTTCTTTTCGTCTATGAGGATTGTATATGAACAACTGCGCGATCGGGCCAGACGCGTCCATCTTGTTGTGCGCAGCATCGTAGCAGAACAGGACGATTTCCACCAAAGAGATCAGTATCATGGAGATGGCTGGCGGCCAGCAGGTGTATTCTTCTTCGTAGGTGCCGTCTTTATATGTGAAAATCGTATGGCTTCGAGTGGTTGGACAGACTAGTAAAACGCAACAAAAGAAGGGTGAGGATGCACGGGAATAGGTAAAAGAGTTGGATGGGAATTTTATTTTTATTTTTAATTTGTATTTTTGTTGAAATTATGATGAATTTGTTTTTTTTTAACATAAGTTATTGTTTATAGCACAATTGAGTATAATTGAATTTGGTTAAAAGAAATCAACACGGTTGGATTACATACCCGACAGTTTTTTTTTATTTGTGGACAAAAGGATAAATATAGCCAGTGAACAATGATCAGAAATAGAGCACGAGTTGAGCGAGTGACAGCCCATCGGGCAGGATGTTATTAATCAATTAAGACACGAGTTGCACGAGCAAAAGGCAATTTTAGATTTATTGCAAGATTCATCATTTTGAGGAAGAAAAAACGTAAAAAAATTTGGCGCGTATTTTGATTTGGCAAACAATCGTTGACAAGATTTTTTTTTAAATCACGAGTGTTGTTTCATAATTTTTTTTTCAATTGTTTAAATTGTATAGTCAAAATATGTTATACATACAACATTTTGTTATTATACGTGAGTACATTTATTGTTGAATAGTTACGTAGTATAATTATATAATTATAATTACGAGAACTCATTGAATAGTTTATCAAATTGAAAGTATAGTTTTATAAATATAGTTTTTCGTTGAAAAAAATATCGAAATATATTATTGCAGATTTTATTTTATAATGTGAAAGGGTCGGGTGACAATAAGCACGTAACACAAACATAAGAGGAAAAGAAAAATATATAGTTAGTAATATTCATGCTTGGTTAATTTCGGTTAAAACAATGAATGGGGAAGCTTTAACGTTAATTACAGTTAATTTATTACTTTACTCACTTATAGTTCTAATAATTTATAATTACAATTTACATTGAAAACGATGTGGCAACACTATCATACTAAGGTCATGAAATAAAAAAAATGTAATTACATTTTACTTTTTTAATTTTTAGAAAGAAAACATCAAAAATAGAAAATAATGCAAAAACTGTACCTAAAAAATGAATAAAAAGTATTGTAATAATTTAATTTTTTTTATCATTAAATAAAAAACACCACCTTGACATCAAAACAACCTGTACCACCACCATCACATCTAAACATTTGTGATTATTATGGTAAAGCTTTCCGAAAGCCACGCAGGAGACGGCTGTCTAAAGTCTACCCTTCAAGGCGACGAAAAAACGCTGCTGTACTATAGATCAAGGTCGATATTCAAAATGCCATCGCATTTTAGTGCTTCAATAGTTCACGATGTGGTGCACGAAAGGAGCCTCTTGTACGTATGACGCATCCTGGGTAACAATCAGCGAGAACCTTACGCCAATTGGCAAATTTTCACCACCTATCACCACTATGGCAAGCATTAGTGTATGCCATCGATACGACAAGAAGAACTTCACGATGCCGGTTCCACCCAAGCCCCGACTTAATTTTGCTACTAATTCATAAACCACGTTAACTCCGACTTGCCAAGAACATCGATCCAGAACAGTGAAACCAGCTTAGTGAAGTCTAGGCCTGAATAAAAACCTTCCAACGTTGACACTTAGAATAATAACGCATAGAATGATAGTTTCATATCAAACGAACTGTCACAAGTGAGGCAAAAATCAAATTCATGGAGGCTAGTTTTAGTAATACGTTAATTTTCGGTTTTAGTGAATATTTATATAAAAATACAAGTTGTAACGCGTTACTTCCTTGTGGAATGTGATGTTAGTATCTATTTTATGTTTGTCTGACGTATTTTTACACTAATTTACCGCACATTTCGTCATTTTTAGCTAAAATTCTGGAGCTGTTCGCGGTGCAAGTTCACCTTGAGCACTGAAGGCCCGCCCGCACATGTAGGCCCATTGGGCGCGCTTCAATTTGCCTCACTTAGCGTGTGCGGGCTAGGTTTCTATGCGTTATTATTCTAAGCGTTGACAAGAAATTTTATAAACTAAACTAACGTCATCGCAATTATTGATCAAACAATTAATCTACACGAGTAATTTTATCTAAGGTTCGGTGGTGAGGTGTGACAATTGCCGCTAGTAAAGCCGCAGCTAAACAAACAAACCTTTTCCCCTAAGAAAAAGTGGAAGGCTTGCAGACAAATAAACAAAACTTATTAGCGCACATGGTACCAGTATACTTCACTTCACTGGTTAACTTATTCTACACATAAAATTTAACACAAAATGTAGTATTTGATAATACGTGGAAAATATTATGCAAGCCGGTGAAAATCGAGTTATATGGACGCCTCGCCACTGCTAAGGTTTTATTTATTAAACCCTACGGGGAGCGGTTAACCACTTTTTGATTCTATGAAATAGTAACTATATTCAATATATTAATCGCCTTTGCACTCAGGAAGGACGCTGCAGAGTTGTGTAAATGGGGTTTCAAGGTCAAACCCAATGTGACTGCGGTGCCCCAACACAGTCCATGCAGCACTTACTGTTGTGCCCCTTGTGTCCTAATACCTGTACGGGGGAAGATCTTTACGCGGCCACGGACAGCGCAGTCAAAGTAGCAACGTGCTATTCAGGGTCAATATAGTCCTAAAATTTTTATTTTACTCCTTTTGGAGTATCGACACGATAAGAAGAAGAAGACTATATTCACTAACTGAATGTCTAATATTTTTTCGTTACTGAGGAAGATGTACGATTTTACTCAGTTCTAAAGAACGAACGCTCTTGACTAATTATCTTTTATCTACTTTTTTAACCTCTATTTAGAGGGGAGTTAAATAATTTTGAAGCCTTTGTCTGTACAGGGCGTCACACGGCAGGGAAAGTACCTTAAATAAATACCAAAAAAAATTAATAAAACAAGACTTCGTTTTAATTTAAAAAAAATTGGAACTGCTTTCAAAGATTTTTAAACAATCGGCTGTCTGAACCGGGAATCCAACCCACCAAATGTGAAAAAAAAAACACCTGCAGTTCTACTATACTTATCGAAAACCTCAATAATAAGGATTGTTTTCTTCTAAATAATATAGCACCTTAAATAAATAGCAGACCATGAAATTTAATATTTAATTAAAATAATTCTGTGTTACTATTTTTGGAATCAACAAAAGCCATTTGAGGTCGTATAGACCCTTAATGAAAAAAAAAACGCATCTATTGTGATAGATTACGTAGGAGAGTCCAAAGGGCGATATCTTCGTTTCACGAAGTCATCGTTTCATAAAAGCCCTCTTGACGTATGATCGCACATTGTGGCATTATTGCACCACGGGTTCGTAGTTTGTTTCTGTTTAGTTTACGCACTCGATGGTTTACGCCAAAAGCAAGTAATATTTGAAAAAATAAAACCGTTTGAACCTTTTTATTTTTTCATTAAAACCGTTTGAACCTTGTTATTTGCCGATGATAACTAGAAGAGGACGTATGAGAATAAAAGGCTATAAATAGGGAATGGCTAAATTGAGCTGTTAACGCTAGGACTATACGTCATCGCTCTGAAGTATAACTAAGGATTTTAACTATATAACACAGTAGTCCAGGGCCTCAAGTTTACTAATTTTAAATCATGTCAGTTGTGTGTCGATAGTGTTAATTGTAAGGTTCTATTAAAATCAAAGACATTCGTTTACGAAAGCCGCTTAATGTTGGGACTTCGCTTTTCCTTAAAATGGCAATACCGAAATCTAACGGATGTGGGGAAACGTTTGGTCGTAAGAAAAAAAAATTACCTAATGGTGACTAGCTAATAGTAACATTAAATATAATAAAATTGTCAAACGAAATTAGTGTGTGGTTATTTCTGAGATTCCTTAAACATTGGCATGATTTTGTAGGTTTGGTATTGTGCTAAAAGGTAGAGGTAATGGCCTGTCAGGGGTTAGCCATCGAGCTATATGTCGTTTCAATCCATTTTGAATAAAAAGTAAACAAACAAGTCACTGACCCGACCATAGGTTTGCGATGGCCAATTGTAACGCCAACTACAAATTACAATACAACTACGATTAATTAATTGAATGAATCGATTTGTTCAATTGAGTCATACTAGCGGTTCTCCTTATATAACCTGTATAAGCATATTTAAAATTTCAATTTAAATCCTCTTTCAAATCCTCACACTTAGATACTTGTTCGATTGCGATTGAAATGTTCGATTTAATAATCGATTACTAAACTTTAATTTATTGAACCGAATGTTTTTTTTTCGAACAGCACTATGCAACCATAGGCAACTCATAGAAGTATAGATGAATAATAACCTCACTTTTGGACTGCCATTTTTCAAATACGATTTTACGATGCTATTCAAATGAATATTGTTGGAAAAAGTGATGATATATCAAGTCGAAATCTTGGAAATATACACAAAAGTGTTACTTATACGATTTATTGAGTGATTGCTGTAGAATTTTAACCAAACAGGTTTGTGTACTTTTTGTTCGAAATGGATTGGAACAGACTATACTACTCAATTTTTTTTTTTTTTTTTTTTTATACCTGACAGGCAAATGACTCCACT